ATATTTATATCGGTATAAGAAAAGTTCAGAATTTTCCATGTTTCGTGAAAATCTGAATTCTCAACAAGCTTTTAGCCTATTTGAATGAAAAATTTCATATTATTTTTTTCTTAATTGTTCCATCGCCTCAAATTTCTTCTCCCTCCTTCTCTTGTAATCTATTTCAAAATTGCAAGTCCAACAGTCCAACAGTTATTTATTTCGAGATCGTATGTTCGTAGATTAATGCGGAATTACTTTTATCGTCGAGAAAACAGCAATTATTGATAAAAAATATGTAATCTACGTATCGTAGAATCGGTTTATTTATTTTTGAAAAACGCATGATTCGTTGTAACACGCGCCTATTATAATTGTTTAATCGAGTTATATTTTTACGAAATAACATATATATTCGAAGGCAAACATTCCAGTTTGAAAAATGATTCCACTAGGTTTAGCTTTGGCTTTTTTCCCTTCTTTTTTACCGATTACTTCTTCTTACGTCAGTGATAGAACGTTCTGGAACGATACACGCGTATCTATATTGATAAGATAACGCTGCGAGTAGATATTACGATTTAAAATCATGAAATACGAAGTAAACACGAAGTAGGAAGCACTTTTGATAAAATAGATTTCCTACGATTTCGAAAATATGAAATATGAATTTAAATCAACGATGGAAAAATTAAATCAAATATAATTATCAAAAAAAAAAAAACTGTTATTTCCTGATTTGAATATAAATACAACGAGTTACTCGAATACATCCTATTATCGTGATTTGTATAAATCATTTATCATTTTCGAATAGATATAAATTTAGATATCGAAGGTGAAATCGAACGTATTTCCGTATTCATTACATCCCAATTCTTCTTCTTCACTGTTCCATAATCTCAATTACAACGTTTTCAACAATGTCTAAGAGATTATTAATCACGTGCGTGCGTCGCGTGATAAACGATATTTCGATCGACGCCTCCCCCCCCAAAAAAAAAAAAAAAAAAAATAAATAAAACACAACTATTCGAAAAACGATTAATCAAGCCTTTAGCAACGAAATTTAAACGACAAACGAGACGCATTAATTGGGAAAATAAATCACAATTTGCACGTAGCCGTATCGTTTAACCGAGCCAAACAGGTGAGCCCGGACAAATTAAATAAATTAGCCAACAATGGGAGCGGTTTTTTTTCTCTCCCTTCTTTTTTTTTTTTTTTTTATTATTATTTTATCATTCAAACCACGGACACGTTGATTCTCCGCCCGATCGATCAAAAATTTGGACGACACCGTCCAATAAAAAAGTTTTCACCGCCGATTGATTTTTCCGAAAGCACACCTCGATTTATATTTTTATCATCGCGACTTTTCAACTAGAAACACGTTCGTAGCTGCCGCCAAGGTTTAATATTACCCTCCTCCATTTTTCGTGGCACGGTTAAACGGTGCTTCGCCTTTTGTTCCACGCCCTCTTTCAACCCGTGAAATTGCCGCGCAATCGAGGGAACACCGGTTAATTAGTGGCAGTGATCACTGCGTGCTCTCGACGCGAGTCTCGAAGCGAGTTGAGCAGGCCTTTGAATGAAAAATTCCGATTTCGAACAATTGTGCGGGAGGGAAGAAGGATTCCGAATTTCTTCGAGATTTAAATTGGCGAAAGAGAAGAGATGGGAGAATAAAAATTATATTGATACCAATATTTCGATAACAATATTTCACGGCCGTATATAAATATCCTTATCGACGAGATCCACCGGTTCTCCACGAGTTGTATCTTTCTCCAGTTAATTTTCTCGCTCGAAGCTGAACGAGCTTCATTCATAACTGTTCCCTCATTCTTTTATGTAATGTAATTCGCCATCTCAATACACGGTTTCCTATCCAAGAATAGTTTCGCGCTTTTCACATACATTTTGATTATTTTACTGTAAATGGATATTCGACATCAAAATGAACTGGCTAAAGTTAAAAACTAGCAAAAATGTATCACTTGTCTTAAACAAATTCCTTTAACGTATTCATATATTTCGTTCATCAAAGCATTTTCTCTGGCCAGGATTTTAGAGAAAATATCGTTAAAACTTTTGCCAACAACTTGACAAATACGGAAAATCAAGTATTTCGACGAGTCGATTATCGAGATCAAAAAGTTCAGTAACATATCGAATGTATATCCTCCACGACACCTTTAATTACACTTTGAAATCGAATAACATTATACGGAAATACAATAATATGTTCAAAATAATTAATCCAAATAAAGATGAAGAAATTTGAGAAATAACCTTTGCTCTGCTTCTTCCACAACCTTCTGACACAAGCGTCTCCAAACCAATTTTACCATTTTTGGTGATTTTTATTATCGAGGAATCTCGTGAGAATATGGAACAAAATATGCTACGTTTCCAGAGAAGAATACTTCCTAATAATTCGTATATTCTGCGAAATAATTCCCTTCCTCGAAGGGTTGACCACCGTGATTCGGCCTCGAAATGGTTAAAAACCGCCTCGATAAACTCGCGTTGTGAAGACAAATATTTATAAAAGATAGAAATCAACGAGTGGAAATTAATTCGGCTCGCAACAACACGGAGGAGGCACATTCGGATCCAGATAAAGGGTGGCCGTCCTCTTGGTCCTCGCCCTTTTGTTAAGCGAATTCCTCCCTCGAGCCGAGCACGTATCACTTAACCCCTCTATCGCTCCCTCCCCTCTCTACACGCGTTTAAACGCCTCTTTCGGCAACTTATGCGCGATGCACAACTCGCCGCAGACCGCCAACACTTCCCGTAATTAACTCCTCGTTCTCGCCGCTATCTTATTATTCCGGCGCCACTTTCGAGTTCCCAGTTTCCGCTGTTAGGACCGTTCAACCACGATTTAACGCAAGAGAGCTTGATCGAAAACCACGATTCTGCGAGGGAAAATTCGAAGATTCTATCGTGTCTAACCGGATTCTTGTCAACGAGAAGTATATAAAGAAGAAACGATTAACGAGTTTACGAAATTGTTATGTTTCTTCTGAGAAAAGTAATAATATTCTTCAAAAATAAGAGCACGCGGTTGAATGGAAAAAACAGGGACGAGTAGAAAGTGCGTTAATTATCGTGCCAGGGGAAAAAAGGGGAAAAAATAAGGTTTAGGGGAGGGAGATTTATCGGCAGATAGGCTTTTGGGATCGGTATTCATCGCTGCGATTTTTGTCGGGGCTTCGTTTCCGATTGTTGGGCGGAAAAATGGTTGTAAATCAATGCTCGTCAGTGTACCGTGGGGGATATAAATTATCGACGAAACGTTTTGAAATTAATATTTTTTTTCGAGGGCTTCTCTTTTCCCCTTTGATACGTTTGAAATCGAAATGTTCGTATTTCAGCTTTCATCCCGACGAATGAACGTGTGCGCCCTTTCATTTCTTTCTTGTGAAAAACTTTGAAGAATTACGCGCCCGAGATACGACAGTTAATTATTATTGCGTTACGGTTCAAACTTCTTTCGTTATATATTCGTTGGTCGATTACTCGGTGATCTGAACGCGATTCGACAGAGAGAGAAATTGTTCGAAAAATTTAATCTTCATTTATTTTCTATGAAAATATTCATTAAAGTAAAACTGTATTTAAAAATTACATCTTTCAACCGTTTACAAATCGTTTACAATTTCTGAACAATTTTCTAGAGCGTTGCGTGCAAAGAAAGAAAAAAAAGAATCTTCGAAACTCGAGGAAAAAAACGAGGAGAAACACAGTGGAACGATTTAATTTCGTCGCGTGAATCCTTCATTCCCGCGAACAACTGAATTCCTGAACAGAATTTCCGAGCTTCTTGGATCAAGAATCCGCCCCTCTCGAATATCGTATTTTACGTTGGCCGGGTGCATATTTTAGAGGCATTTACTCCGCAGGAGGGGGAAGGTGGATGAAGGTGAGAAGATTCGAAAAGAAAGGGCGAAAAGAGCGAGGAGACGATGCGCCCAAGGCGCGCCCTCGCCCCCTTTCGCGTCCAGGAATGTTGCCTGGGTTATTTTAGGCTCCCTTCGTTCGCTCCCTTATTCGTTGCGGCAACAAGTAACGAAATAACGAAGGAAGGCCGCCACGTTGGACCAAGAGACTCGCACTTTTCGTCAATTTACGATTTAATCGCGGGTTTTTTTCAACGGGTCTGGAGTTTTGTATCAAACTTTGTTTGTTTCCGATCGAGTAGAAAGTTGAATATTCCGTGTTTCGCGAATATTTCAAGAAGCTTTTGAATTCCACGTTTATGGAAAGGGATATTGGATATTCTTATTGGAACGATATATTAAACGAAATTTATAATGTGTCCAATAATTACGATTCAAAAAATTAAGTATTTTTATCAAGAAAGAAAGAAAAACGATTAAAATGATAGAACGGGGGAGGGGTGAAAAAAAAAAAGAAAAGAGTTATTAATCAATTTAAGGAAGACCGTTCCAATTTTAAAGAGGTCGTCGCGGCCGCTATTATTCACTTGACTTTTTCTCAAGGAGGAAGCATCGTGTATTCCCGGGGGGGAGGGCAGCAGCCTTTCCATTAACCGAAGTATCTTACTCTCCCCAGCTTTTGCAAATAACACGATGATGGAAAAAAAGTAGGGGGGGTGCAGACGGGAAGTGGCCCGTAACGAGCATTAAATTGCATTTTCATTGTTACCGCGACATTGCTCGCCCGTAATTCAACTAGCGCGGCACACTGAGTTTTGATTTTCTTATCTTGTTTAGTCGAACAACCTCGACTAATCGAACCCCTTCTGTTTCCCCGGGATAAAAAAATTCGCGATAATTCGATTTCCATCCTCCTCCTACGCGAATTTCCTTCTAAATAATGAATAACAAACTATGCGTGTATAATATAATTTTCATAATAAAAACGATAACGCGTCATCGATCGAGATTTCGAGAATTGAAAAAAAAAAAAAAGGAAAAAAGGAAAGAAGAAATAATAAATTTCATACGCGTTGAGATAGATATAGAAAAGTAATGGAGATAAACACTCACGTGTTCTCCTTCTGGTCGCCGTTGCTCGACTGCGACGACGGCGACGGCTGCTGCGCCTGTTGCTTCGAGTACGGATGATGATGATGATGCACCACGTTGTTGTTATTGTTGTTGTTGTTGTTGTGCATGTGCACCTTGTTCGCGTTGCTGTCGGTCGGCGAGCCCGGCGAGATCTTACCCGCCAGAGCGTTCAACGATTGAAGCATTTTCATAGGAGTCCTCCCGGCGGCCGGATCTCGGTGCCTCCTTCCCTCGGCCTCGTTCACCCTTGAGGAACACAGGATTACTCGTCGTTTCCGATCTGAAGGCGACAACAATCCTCAAACTCTAACCGATTAACCAACCGATACGCATTTTCACGCTCGCTCGCTCGCTCACTCTCTCACTCTCTCTCTCTCT